AGAAAACTGAAGTCGTTACCCTGTATTGAGACAGTGACTGCCTATCTGTAATCAGACAGATGTCCGGAAGCACCATGGTCAACAGCCAGTCGAATGCGGTTAGCTCAATACAGTACCAAATAGACTTGTGCCATGTCCAAAGCACACCAGGTTCCGGAGCATTTTGGAACGGCATTTTGAAACGGCAGTAGAGTTGTGCAGATCACGTGCTAGTGTGAGCGACAAATATTACGGATCGGGCACTCGGTCTGACGCTCGTTCATATGGTTACGGCTGCTTCCTAATTGGAAGGTCACAGGCAAGCACATTTGTTATCTACCACTGACGCTTGCACGGTGACCCAAAACAGAGAATCCTCAGATGAGCCGCTTTACTGGGAAGCTAACACTAGGACTCTCATGCAGCCACGATTTAACGTCCGACCATTTACAAGAAGCTGCGACTCAGGCTAGGATAAAGGTTGCAATCTTCGTGGTGTCCCATCCTGGAAGTCTACAGAACGTAAACCAGGACGGGACTTCAAACCATAGCCTTTGTATTGTACCACCCTGCAGATTCCACCATTGAGTCACATCGGTGTCCCACAGGGTTGAGTAAAACGTTTTCGGACAGAACTCTGCGGATCACCAAGAGTCATCTGAGCCTTGTAGTGCCACTTTGGTCCAACCTGGATGAAAAGATCGTTCGCAGCGAATCGAAGTGACAAGACAATATCATTTAGTAGTACAGCGAGTTGTGCATCAGATGCGCGTTCCACATTATATCAGCTGTCGAAAAGCTAGTCAGCTCCACAAAACAGACTCGAGGTTAAAATGGAGGGAGATTGCAATCGAAGTAGATCACAACCTTCCAACCTAAATGACCCAAGTTTCTTCCTCTGTACATGGCACAAACCTCAGAACACAGGTCACTTTTGTCGGATGCAAGTTCTTACCAGTGTCATGCACTAAACTGTCCCAGTATCTGAACCCAGTACCTCTTGCCCCAAACAAAGTTTGTATAGCGAAGCCAGTTTATCGAAAGCCTGTGTCGAAATGTTCAGATCGGCTGGAAGCTCGTGTTTAGGTCAACTTATGTTTATCCCCACACCCTCGTTTGTACATCGCGATGCTTCTGTGTCTTCAGGCCCCGGTTGTCTAACACCAAGTGGTTGTATCTGCTGCAATACGATGCAAAAATATATCCCACCAAAACGATAACTTATCAATATGCAATGGAACGATTTTTTGCTCCAAAAACGGCTGAAAAGTTAGGAAACATGGGTTTTCCGGGGTGGGGGGGGGGCGGAGATGGATAGGGGATTCGGGGCAAAGTGAGGGGGGAAAGACATGAGGAACCCCAAGCGAGGTTTAACGGGTTATGGATAGGCTGGTTGATTGTCACTCGGGATTGGTCGCACAGATACATACACACGCACGCACGCACACACACACACGCACGCATGCATACACTCATCCACTTTGAGCGTCACATCCCGGCAACGATGAAGAAAAAGACGAACAAGCAAAACATGCGATCTCAGAAACCGCAAAAAGGCGAAATGTCATCGGAATCGACCAACTGACAAGTGTGGTTATGAACACATGGGGGGAGAGAGAGGATAATCTAGGGTCAAAACGAGGAAGCTCGTGATGACAGTAGCAGCAACAACAACAGCGGCAGCAGCAGCGTCAGTGACGATAGGATTGGTAGTGGTGGAACTAGTAACGGTGGCAGCGGTTCGATTGGAACGCATAAAAGCGGTAGTGGATTTACGAGCATTTTGGAGCAAAATGTGATAAAACGTCAGAACTACGAATTGTTGTTGTTGTTGTTGTTAGCCCTCATTGATATCGCCTCAGTACACAGGCTGCAAGTGAGCCGGACACGGTTGTGACGATACATCGCCTTGCGTATGAATGTAGATCAACAGTCCGAATGTGCCTGCATGCGTGGAATCAGAACAATCTCTTCTAAGCACTGGCCTCAGCCACGGGGGCAACACGAGTGCTGGCGATTGCTGGTTCTGGTGCAGACTGTACAGCTGTCGCTTGACTAGTCGGTCCACTGTGCTCGGTATCCTCTTGGGGTGGTCGGCGCGTTCGATTAAAAGTACGAATCCGATTGCGTCTGGGGAAGCGGCGGCTTCGGGGAGCCCCGCCATTCCATTGATTTGGTCCTCCTCCTGTCGGAACTGGGCCGTTTACGCCGCCTCGTCTAGGATTAGATTCTGTTGTATGTTCGACAGACGCCGTGGAGAGTTCACCATTCCTAGCGTTTTCGTTATTCCGGGTTCCTGGAGCTCCAGCGATTCCACCGCCGCCACCACCACCAGGACCAGAATTACTGGCTGTGAAGCTTCGTATGCGTTGACGACGACGTCCACGTTGGCGACCAGGTCCATCGTTTCGAGCGTTCGACATTGATGTACTTTTTCGCCCTCCACTTTGTCCGTCAGCCGATTCGGCAGCTTCGTTAGATCCGTCTCGTAGACCCGCATCTCCTTGTCGCTGACCACGCGGGGATGCTCCGTCTAATGTGGTGCCAAATATTTCTGAACGAAGAACATGCTGGTCTTCCAAACTGAGACTCCTAATTATCATATCCAATCGAGCCCGAAAACTGACCAAAGCTTCCAGGGGTATACCAATAACGTTTCTGTGTAAATCTGTCACCTGAGAAATATGTAGTCTCTTTCCCCATCGCGTATCACGCAGATCGAAAAAGAAACGACGTCCTCCAGAAGCGCTATAGAGCGATCGTACCTCCGGTAGCTGGTTAACTGATCGATAACGTGTGACCACATCCGCTGGAATGAAAAAAATAGAAGGGTTGGATGATTTCACATTTTAATAAGGGCCACGGCCACACATACAGCAACCGCTTCGCGAAAACAAATCAATAAGTTGAAAAAAACGCCGTATCCTGAATACGGCCGCCGTTGTCATGATAAATCTGGGGCGGCAGCCTGGAAAAACGGATAAACAGTGAAGTCTAGCAGTTTTTATGTGAACGGTCACGGGGAAGGTGTGGAACAATGGTAGATAGGAAAGGCTGTAGACAGACGAAACAATTGGAAAACAGTGCTGAACAGTATTTAGCTAGCGGATTTGTGGCTGGTGTTTCTTTTGAACAGTCTTTCAGGGTAAAGGGAGCTGTGATGACAAATAACACATTCACCCTAGCTTATGATCAGTTATTGCATTTATTTGGTAACTGCTATAGAACGAGTTATAGGAAGAAGTGTAATGTGACAACCATAGAGAGATTAAATACATATATAGACGTAATACACTGCTCGTAAGGTTGCTGAAAACTCTTTGACAGCCCACGACCAGTTTCGCCCGTCTTGGGGCTTATCAGGTAGACGCAGTCCCCGAGTTTCCGTCAACCTTATGTTCTACTTGAACCCAAATTGCACGAATTAAGCGAAATACACACATTTCCAAACTAATTTAATTCTTGCGGGAGACTCACCTGGAACCCAACTGAATTTCTCGTCTATGATGTGTTTAAAACATAAGTTTCAGGTGAGTCTCCCGCAAAAACCAAATTGGTTTGCAAATGAATGTATTTCGCTGATAAAAATACAGTTCTAAGTGTTAACTCTGAGACTTTGAGTAGACCTCATGGCAACGTTCCGTGTCGGTCACGACCCGAATCGTGTTTCCTATGAGAGGCCTAATACTTTGCTTTCCGTCGCCATCTGTTGATCGCAACTCTCACTGAGTTACAGCATGAAGAGCGAACCGCATTGGTCTCGTCTCGAGCCCCCAAATGGGGATGGCAGTAATATGATGTCTCCTAGAAGCCGGCTGAGCCACACAGAAGTTAATTTCGAATATTTGACCTGTCACACTAACTTATAACAACTGGTCTTATGCAAACTACTGAATCACATTTTGCGTTTCACACTCTCAAAGTTAACAAACAATGAGGCGAACCGGATTGCCATATATTTGAGTACGACCTATTTAACGCATGACTAAGGTACGACTCGGGCCGAGTTAGGTTCTCGTTAGAACGTTTTGACGACTGGGCACAGTACTTCGAGCAGCAAGTCAGCTGGCCATCTGCTACCAGAATCCTGGCCTCTAACAAAAAGGTGGATCGTGAATATGGGGTCAACTTCAGCCTCAGACGTGTCCGAGTGTATTTCCCTACTCCAGCGTCGTCATGCTGCTGGTCCTGACGACCTTCCACCTGCCTTTTCCAAGGATGGCGGTAGGCTCTTCAGACAGTGCCTGTCTAGCCTATTTGGGTCTATCTGGGAGGATACCGTCCCAGACAACTGGGGTGAATGGATAGTAGTGCCCATACTCAAAAAGGGTACTCGCAGTGAATGTAGTAACCACAGATGTGTTAGTTTGATACCTGTTGTGACAGGGGGTCCTGACGTCACTGATTCTTCGTCGTCTTACGGTGGCGCGCGAAACCTTGACTCGTGAGAATCAAGCGGGATTTCGACCGGGTAGAGGCTGCTTTGACCACATATTCACACTCCGTCAGGTTAGAGCAACGCCACATGTACAGACGACACGTAATCCTGGTATTCCTTGACTTCTGTTGATCGATCAGTTCTGTTAACTACAC